GGAACGTTTTTAAAGGTTACATAATTTAATTTCGTTTGTGATCATCGATTGTACGCATTGTTCAAGACCTCGTGCTTATGCTCCTTGTGCTTCGCCATAACGTGCATGATGAAATGGATCTTCTGCTTTCCCTTGTAAGGACAATAGGAGCATTTGAACTGCGGCTCTTTGCCACACTCCCATCTGGAGTGGTTGTAGAGGGAGCTCTTCCTCTTATAGGCGCGTCCGCATTTCTTGCAGGCGAACATGTACTGCTGACCAGTTATCTGCTCTAAGGTAAGGGTATCTACAACATACATTCTTTTCATTTTAGTGCTACAACAGGAAGCGCTGAAGGAAATAAAAGATTCGGAGTATGTACAGAAAATATATTTACAGATAAAGTGGAGATGAATGGTTCTGGTAAATAACAATTCAGGATTTATTTGCAGTTAACATTATTGAAAGAATAGTAAAAAATAGGAGATACATAGTCGTCATTAGTATAATTTTACATTAACACGATTATCTGAATAATTTTTGAGACAACAAATACCATAAGTGTAAAATATTTTTTGCAAGACAAAGATAGTGTTCATTGTGTAAATAATTACAGTTATATTATACTTTTTCACGTGTTAATGATACGTTATTTGTAGTGACTGAATTTGTAAGACAATTTCCTGTCAAAACATGATTCGATATTTGCATTCCGTGTTCTTTTGCCATAAATTTACAGTACATCATTGTGATTTTTTTTTTATATTTTTTGTGGAACATCATTGATACTATTATTTTCTCTACAGGACCCATATTCCAAAGTCATATTAATAAAACTACTTTAAGCTGTACTAAAGTAGGGTATAGCTATATAATTTAATTAATATTAACTACGTAAATAATATATAATCTTGTTCTTAAAAAAACTATTTTACATCTTGTTAATTTTTTCTCTCAAAGTTTCCAAAGCCAGCTCCCTTCGTTTATGCGTTAAGGAAAGTTTGTGTCTTTGCAGGACGTGATGAAACTTGCAATAGAAATCACAGGTGGAACAGTAATACTGAGGAATTTTTCCACAATCGTTCTTCAGATGCGTATAAACGGAAGTCTTATGCTTGTACAGCTTCTTGCACAAGGGACAGATGTAGTCTCCCTTGGCATTTTGTAAAATTTTTGAAGTCAGATCTAAAACAAACTGGAATTAGCAAAAATGAAGAAAATGCATTCACCAGTCGCACAACCACATGTACAGACAACACAAACAAATAGCTGAATGTTAGTTATATTTTAAAACAGTTTGTGCTAGTTTTTAGACCTACAGATATAAGGGTTAACAAAGTTTTTTAATGGAACACATTTTAGATAGGGAGATATGCCCAAAAGAAACCTAGAGGCTATTTATTCGTAGTCGGTTAGCAATCATAACTTGCTAACTATTGGATACAGGTCCATCAGACTTTATATCACTGTAAAACGATTTTTTCGTATCTCAAAGAGTAGAAGACGACATTTATTGGGGGCTACTTGCAAACAATTAGAAGAACACAACTTAAAACATCTTAAAATATGTCACGGTGTAGGATATGAACGGAATATTATTATTTGCAGATTTAAGATAATTAATCTAATTATATTTAAGTAAAACAACGTGGTAAGTTCCAAGTATTATATTTTTCTGAGTAAGTAAACTAACTGTTTACAAAATAATATAAGAGTATTATTCAGGAATATGAATATAGTTGCCTAGAGACCAATGCAAATTTTTGCTTTACAAATAAGATGAAATTTATATTCATTGATTTTGTCACTCAGAAAACTGAAATCATTATTAAAACTTCACTTCAGTTTTTATATATGAAACGCGTTTTGGCATTTCTTTCAACCTAAACGTAAACGCAAGGATTTAATTCCTAGCGTAAGTAAAAACTTAAACATCTAAATTATTGCTAAAATAATGGAAATAAACTGATTAAAGATATATTTGCAACTGCTCCTTCCTGATCTGATGCACATTCTTCACATGTCTGATAAAGTTGTGCTTTTGCTTGGCTGCATAACTACATATTTTACAAACAAATAGTCCTGATTCCTTACCACACTCCCACTTCAAATGTTTCGCAAGGGAACTTTTATGTTTATATCCATGACCACATTTAGGGCAGTATATTGGGAAGACTAAAAATAAGCCATTATTTTACTTCAGAAGATTTTTTCTAGTAGCGTAGCAATATTACGAATAATTGAAGATACTTCTATCGGATGACGCGTCTGCTAATTTCTTTTATATTTTTGAGGAGAATATTAGCAGATTATCACCAAGCCAAGAAGTAGCTTGTTAAATAATGATTGTAAAAACGCTACTAAAAATTCATGTATTGAAAAAAATATATTATGATGTAATTAATACATAAGTAACTTATAAAATTGTTTTCAATTCATTTATTTAACTTTGCAGAACTCTTTTAATAGAAATATGTTACGGTATAACAAATATTTACAACGACACAAAAATATCTATAAAATTGTTACTTCTTTGATTCTATAAATATCTTGCTAATATTTTTCTCGAAGTATATTCTCGAAAACTCATTCAATTTCTCCGCATGCTTGTTTTTCACGTGCACCATAAGATTGTATTTTTGCTTGACGCTGTGTTGGCAATAAAGGCACTTGAACAATCTGGTATTCCCACAATCGAACTTAAGGTGTCGGTCTCTGATCTTTTTGCTGCGGTATAGTTTGCAACACTTTGGACATTTATTCTTTTCTTGATATAATCCTAAAACAATTTCGTCTTAAAAGCTGATGTTTCATTAATTGAAAACTTAATAACAAATATTATATTCGCAATAACAACTTTTTGTCCAACTACTATGGTATAACTCAAGTTACAGCTCATTGTATTGGATGAAGTTCATTTCAAGTTGATATGCCATTATTTAATTTTATTCATTAATAAAAGAATGCCAGCAAAATATAGAAGTATATTTGTAAACATCTCTGACCTGTGTCATTAATATAGTACACTTCGTATATCCAAAATAAATACATCACTGATAATTTGTATTATTTCTCAAAAATACTGTTAAAACAAAACAGTACACCACCTAAATTGATAATGTTTATCTGCAACCTGTTCTAAGAGCAAAATTTCAATATATCAGTGCAGAATTTTGTAGTACTTAGGTTTATAACATAATTTTTTCAGTACATCGAACGACTTCTTATAATACAAGATCTTAAATTCTTCTAATTTTTCTGGGTGGGCCATCCTGACATGGACCATCAAATTGTACTTCTGCTTAGCGTGTTTGTCGCAATACAAGCAGTTAAAAACATGGGCAACGCCACATTCGTACTTAAGATGCCTGGATAGCGACCCTTTCAAATGGTAGGTTTTGCCACACTTGTTAGGACAAACGAATTTCGATCCTGAAAATGTAAGGATGTAGTTTATTTAGACAAGGGTACTTGAGCAATAAGAGGCAAATTGGCATCGAGCATAAGGAATATCATTTTCGTGTTGAAATTTAAATGAATTCTTGTCTTAACATGATAAAACGAATAAGAACTTAAAAGTTTAACTCAAATGACGTATTAAGCACTTACCTTTATATTTTTACGTTAGAACGTTGTTTGGACTGCATTGGTACTGATCAGTCTGTCAGAAGAATATCAACAGATAAAAAAGGGGACATGATATGGGATAAGACATATTTTATGTCTTCTACTATAAAAATTGGAACTTCAGTTCTCCCTTTTCTTACCAGTATACCCACTTACTTATGTAAGATAAGAACAATTACCCATTCAAACAGTTTTCCATAAAAATGCAATTATCTGGTGTTCTAAGAAACAACTAGAAACATTAACGATGTTGAAGGTATAGGTATTTAATTCAATAACCAGATCTACCTCTTGAATACCAAAACACTGTCCTTAATAAAAGACCACCGCTATTTACCCTGTTCCCATCAGATATTTATTTACCAAATAATTTTTATACATAGGTATAGCAATTATTAGCACTTGTTTGTAACAAATTATACGCCATTATTCCTTGTTGTGCTATTTTATTCAACATTCCCATCCAACTTGTTGCGGTGTCTATTTACCTTGTGTTTCAGTAAATTTGAATTCAACTTAGCTTTATAAGGACAGGAAGGACAACAGAACTGCGGTTCCTTTTGACATTCGTAACGCTTATGTTGTAAAACCGACTTCTTGTTTTTGTACTTTCTTCCACAGATGTCACATTCAAAGGCTGAAATATAATTTATTTAGTAAAAAATGGTAAGTGCAGTTATTCTGAAGAAATATGTTGCAGTGCCTTAGTTTCAGAAACAATTCCAGGAAGAATATTGGTGTTCCAATAATAGTATCAGCGTAACTTTTAGTAAAAAATAATGTATATTCAAAGCATTTAATGATTACTAGTAACAGTACAATAAAAGTAGAAAATCATAACATAAATTTCTAGGATAACAAAGTACAACAGATAAAATTTTTCCACGTTCCAACGTTTAACTTACAACAGCTTCAGCTAAATTAAATGTACTTATGAAATAATAAAAAGACACTTTATTTAACGTAAACAAATATAACATTTACGTGATACAATATCTAGGCATTGTCAGAGGGTTCGGTTTGGTGGACATATTTTATGTGTTTAATAAGATTAGACTTCAATTTGGCCTTATGGGGACAATGAGGGCAAATGAACTGGGGTTCTTTTTGACACTCATAGCGCATGTGTCTCCATACAGACCTCTTGAATTTGTATTTTCGCCCACATTTTTGACACTCGAGTGCTCCTAAAAAAATATAAGAATTGTTATATTAAAAATGCTAGTTAATAGATTGTGTGAATTTATGTGACAATTTATAAACATAATTATTGTAACAAACAATATCCTGCTATTATACTGCAGTATAACAAACGCATCCGGATACTCAATTTTTCGTTTTCTTACCTCCAAAGATATTTAAGACAAATAAAAACTAAATTGTATGTCGTTACGTGCAAGCTTTAATATAGATTTTTGATCATACATTATATTTTGCTTCACAGAACAACCCAAGACTATAAAAACTAAAATCACAACCCGTATAGGTTTCTAATCACATAAGGTGTTGACTTCTAATATGTTTCAAAAGATTGCAATTGAGTTTAGCTCTGTATGAGCAATAAGTACATTGGAACTTGGGATCCCGCTGACATTCGTATTTCAGGTGTCTGCCTAAGTTGTTTTTTGTTTTGTACCACTTTCCGCACTGTTCACACCTAAAACCACCTGGAAGCAAAAGAAATAATTAAAAATGATACATGAGTGCCCAATTTTGATCCACATGGTATGCAGAAAGAAAGCAAAAGAGTTACTTAGCAAAAGTGAAAATGTTCAAATTGTGAAAACAATGAATGTTCCCCTAAGATGCAAAGATAAGAAGTGCAGAACCTGCAGGAAAAGATTGGACCTTAAAATATTACAATAAAATATAATATTTCCAGACGGTATATTCCTTTAGCATTAAATATACAGGGTGCTTTCAAAGTTCATCTCATAACTTTAGGAAATTCTTTCTTGGATCATTTTGGACCAAAAAATCTTAATAATCAGAGTGTAGAGCCTCTTGTCTTCGAAATAGAGGCTGCCGAAGTTTTAAAAAATTATATCAATTTTTTCAGATATATCCGACGACGTCTGACGTAAAAGTTCAAAAATGTCATTGATGTACGATTTTTTTTAAGAGCAATGTTATCGTGAAACAAGATGAGTTTTTTGTAAGATTTTTAAATTTTAATATCGTAATAATAAAATACACACGTGATTAAATACGTTTTTAATTTTTATGCAGCATAATAATTACAAATTGCTTATACATACAAAATGTTACCAATTATCTTCATAGTGATGGACCCTTTTTATGTGTTTCCTGAGGTCGGGCTTAAGCTTGGTTTTGTGAAAGCAGCCGCTTATGGGGCATTTGAATTGAGCCTCTTTGCCACACATGTAAGTTTTATGTTGCCATAGTCCACTCTTCCTGCTGTATCTCTTGAAACATCTGTCGCACTCGTATTTAACTGAAATACAATATATTCAGTACAAAGTTACTTATAACATACACAGAGTATCAGAAAAACATAACATTCAATTATTTGGTTGAAAAGTACAGTGAAAAGAATGGATTATTCTAATTGGTTGCTTTGTAAAGTTTCATATGAGAAAGTTTGTTTTTTCTTAGCAACAGCTTGATGCAAAAATTGTTTGTCATGTCGTTACTTTTAATTTCTGTGAACGACCTACTAACATAATTTTTTATATACAAATTATCTGTTTAATAAACGACAGAAATATGTATACAGTGCGTTCAAGTTTGACACCATAGCCACTCTGGTATTTTATGAAGAAACAAGGAATAATATATATCTTAATTGTTTGGATGTTAACCACATATGGCAGCTGCCATTTTTGTTGATTGCAGAGAAATTACGAATTCTATAGACCCTACTGCTGTAGACATTGCAGCAGCTGTCCCAAACAGATCGATAATGAACCGATTTAGAATTAATCGGTATGCACCATCAACACGATACGGCATTTGTTTACATTTGACAAATGTAATGAAATGTACTCCAGTACATGTTAAATAAATATTGAAAACAAAACTGATTTGAGTGTGGGTGAGATATAACCAATAAAACTTATGTTATATCTTAATTTATGTCATATCTTAACTGTCATTGCTACCAACAGTTATATCTTGCTATTGCCATCAACTATATCATTAGTCAAAAAAGATTTATTTAGAGTAATTAAAGAATAAATTGAAAATATAAATAATAATTAGACGAAATAAATTATAAAATTTTCAAATAATCTGCTTAATTTTCATATTTTCAATATTTGTCTATTTATATGCAAAAAATATATACAAACATGCAACAATCAAATTTGTCACTATACAGGGTGTCTCGCGGTGACGGCCCATTAGAATTATTTCAGAGACTACTTCCACAGCATCCTGTGAATGGACGCTCGTGAAATGCCAAAATCATACTCTGTGGTGCGAATTGAGGATTCTGGATGAACATTAAAATAGGCTAGCACATTTATTACATTATCTTCATTTGAAGTTATTGGCTTTGGTAAAATTCTTTCTGCACAAATTCGACCATACTCTAGTTGATTTGCTAAAATTCTTAACTTTTTTCTGCTCATTGGTGGCAAATTTGGATATGTCTCATTAATAACTGTACATGTTCTGCTTATAGTCCCATTGCAACGTCCGTGAATGAATAATAAATTTAAAATATCAGCATTTGAATATGTATTGTTTTCCATTTCTTATAAACACTAAATTAAACTGTCATTGCAAGAGACTAACAACAAATTGACAGTTTAGTTGTTTGTTTTGAAGTTTTGCTAAAAATTCCACAGCTATCCTCGCAATAAATTACATGATTTTAGTTGATTACACAAAAAATAGTAGATAACTTAAAAACTAGAAGAGATAGGTAAGGAAACCCTGATACCGTTCGAAAGAGAATAAAATTGTCTCAGAATATAGAAAAACATACAGGGTGTTCCATTTAAAAACCCGACTTATGAAGGTTTGAAGTTAACTAAACTCGGCATTAAATTTCTAGCACCCTGTATGCAATTAAGTCACTTTGAAAGTATTGATGGGTAGCTTAGGGGTCTAGCTATCCCCCCTATAAATATTGTTGCTTTATCTTACTATAAAATACACATGGTTTGAAGCTAGTCACTGTTTCTCTCGGATAATTTTAGGAATAGGAAACCTTTATGAAAATCCACCTAAAATAATACGTAGAATCCAAAAAAAACGTAAAATCCACATATGTGGGGTGTTTCATTTAAAATAAACAAGTTGATGGCGATTTCCGGTATAACCGGAAGTGGTACCTGGACGACGTCATTATTTTAGTTGAGAAGGGCATGCCCGAAAACCGGGTATCCCAAATTTTCAAAATTCAAATCGAAGTAGTCTCTGAAATAATTGTAGTGGGCCATTACCCTGAAGCTAAAACATTAACTAATGGTAACTAAACAAATTTTTTAATAATTTTGTAAAAAACCAGCTCTTGTGACAAAGTCCAGTCCCCACATGACGAATTATTGCTTTTGGCTTCTTTAAATTTCGTTTGAAACAAAAATAGTTGCAAGGCGTCTAGTATTTCATTCTCAAAAAAATGTTGAATGCGTTCGAAAATTCAAGAATGGTGCTGCGCAAAATTGAACGCACTGTATAGTATTTGTATAGCTCCGCTATTTTTTTTAGGAATAAATCAAAATCTGCAAGGAGTTAATAATGTATATTTTCAGCTACAAATTTGTGAATTGAACGCAAATGCCTCCTAACAGTGGCTTTCAGTTTTCCTTTGTAAGTGCACCCAGGCACAGGGCAATCAAATTGAGGATTTTTCCCACACTGGTACCTCTGATGCTGCTGCAAGCCACTTCGGGATTTGTATCTCCTATTACAATCTTGACAAACGTGACCTAAAACTATACAATGCGTCAACTCTATTTCTTATTTTGGGAGGCGACAAAAATTTGATGACGTAAAAAATGGGAACAGATTCACTTATCACTTTTCCTGATGTCACTTACTCACGTAGGTAATACTCTCGATGAAAAATATAAACAAAAATTATTAATGTAATCTAGAAACGTACAAAACGTAAAAAATATAAAATAAAGTACCAAAAACTAAAAATGGGAAGGTATAAATGAGAAAGTCACATAGACACAAACATTTTAATGCGACTATCAGAAGAATTACGTCTGTTTTACATGAAGTTGTCAACTAGTTTTTAACTTTGGGCCTATAATGTGTACGGTGGTGTAGTGCTGTTTGACATTTCCCTTAATTCGTGCCTTGTAAGGACAGCCAGGATAAGAGCAAGGAAATTGGGGGTCTTTTCCACAGCTATACCGTTGGTGCTGTATGAGGCCCCTCTTCCATCGATACGTTCTGAAACAGACGTTACAAGTATGGTACCGACGACCTAAAAAATAAGAAATGCAAATGCCTGAGTACATTTCAAACGCATACCTAAATCAGGCTTCATGCAACTGCCGCACATTTAAGGCATAGGCCAATAAAACCTATTGGCCAAGTGATTCAATAGAATATGATTCTTCATTATTAAAAAATCTTTACTTAAGCACATATCTAAACTTAAATATCTTTATAATAATGTCAATTATACTCTGGTCATAGAAATGACCTTAAATCAATTCAGAAACATTCTCATACAGGGTGCAACACAGCAACGTGTCAAATAATGAAACGTTCAGATTCAAAAATATTTCATATAAATATATTCCAGCTAAAAAGGGGTCACCTTTATACATACGCTCAATAGTACACAAAGGCTTCATAATAAAGTAATAATAAAAAAACCTTCACGCTTATGTGCGTTTTATTGTAAAACTTACATAAACATACAATAATAAAAGCAAATTGAATAAAATAAAACATCAATAAAGATCAGTAACTAATACGTGAACAAACAAATAACATTTATATTCTGTCGGAGGAAAAATATGTCTGAATTTGTGCCACATTTAGCTTGTGTCTGTGGATCAAATGACTTTTTAAATTATTTTTGTAGTTACATTTATGGGCGCAGAGACGACAAGTGAATTGCCCCCGTTGTCCACACTGATATTTCAAGTGTCTTCGAAAGGATGTTTCGTATTTATAAGAATTATTACATTCCTTACAAACGTACTTTCCCGTCTGGACAAAAGCCCCTTCCAAAATCTTCACTAAAAATAAAAGTATGTTAGTAAACCGAAAAACTGATTAACATTTCTCAAGTAACTGATTAATATGAAATGAAATTGATTCAAGAAAGCAATACATAAAAAAATCTTGTGTTGTCTTTACATAAAAGTAAACATTTTTAAGTATATTTTTTTTTCAATTAGCACCAGTCCGATTAGGGTTAAACATTAATTTTCCAGGAGAATCGTTGATAACCAAAAATGTGTGATAATGCTTCAAAAGTTTAGAAGATATTTAAAAAATTGGCAACACGTTACCTTCAAGCTGTCATATCTTCGCAACGAGTCAAAATTGATCGAATTGACTGAAAGTTCAATCAAGTTGAATTCAATTTTGTGTTATTACTGAAAAAGATCTTACTGTCAACTTTCAAAGATGTTTTATAACATCAAATAACACCAAAACGTACATTTAGGTGATGCCCAGAAAAATTAGAAGTCTTAAACAGGACACCGTGTACAAATAAACTGTAGGCCATGCTTACACTCGTTTATAGGCAATCACATTTAAACATATAAATAGATAAGATTACAAGACATTAAACACGATCCTTCCATTGCCGATTTTTGGAATAATGCATCACCAATGTGTGAGTATGCAACGCGTCTTTTCTTTTGAAGTCTCTTTGGCAGAACTGACAGCGGAATGTTGGTTTCTTGCCGCATTCGTACAGCAAATGTCTTTTTAATGTCTGATAGTGCAGGTAAGTTCTGCCGCACTTGAAACAAGCGTGACGGAAATCTAAAAAAATATATGTATTAATAAATTGTACAAGTAACTACGAATAAAGCAAAACTTAACAATCACACACCTGAACGAGAACAAATAGAACAGGAACATGACTATTCTACTACATTTGTATTCTATACTAAGTTTTTAAAAGTGGACAAAATATACTCAAAATATTCCTGTAAAATTGATTAAACATTTCGTTTTGCTTTCATGAATGGTATTTTATTAACTTTTTCTTGTGAATCTTACATCATCAATGTGTTGCTTTATGTCTTGCACTAATATGTCTTCTCAAATTAAACATTGTGTATGTTTTATAGCTGCAATTTTCGAAACTGCAATAGAATTTTGGTATCTTCCCACAATACTTCTGAGTGTGATTAAGAAGGGACACTTTTTTGCCGTACCTTTTCCCACATTTTTTACAAGCATGATCTAAAATTA